ATTTTTTTTTTTTTTTTTTTTTTGGTGAACTCTTGGATTATTAGTTGTAATAATAAATTGGGTGTTGAAGACTACAAGGCTGCTTATGAAACTATATTCACTGTGTTTTTATTCTTTTAGTTTTATTTTATTTATTATTATTATTATTTTGAATTACTACCCTAAATTAACTTTGAACCTTGTATTTTGTAAAATATATATATATATATATAAAACATAAAAAATACCTTAAACGTTAAAAATATATTTTAATTTTAAAAAATATTTTAAGGTTTCAAAAGATTCATTAATACTTCAATTTTTTTCAAAAAATATCATTAATTTTCAAAAATTTTATTAATACTTTTAAACTTTAAAAACACATTTACAATTTTTTTAATAGCTTTTAATTTAAAAAATTGTTTAAAAAATAAGTGGAAGAGAAAAACAAAACACCATTTGTAAGGACGTGGAAACCTTTCTCTAACAGACGCGTTTTAAAGCTTTGAGAGGAAGTCCGAAAAGAAAAACCTAGAGAGGACAATATCTGCTAGTGGTGGATCTGAGTCATTACAAATGGTATCAGAGCCAGACACTGGACGATGGCAACCAACCTTTCTCTAACAGACGCGTTTTAAAGCTTTGAGGGGAAGTCCGAAAGGAAAAACCTAGAGAGGACAATATCTGCTAGTGGTGGATCTGAGTCATTACAAATGGTATCAGAGCCAGACACTGGACGATGGCAGCCAACCTTTCTCTAACAGACGCGTTTTAAAGCTTTGAGGGGAAGTCCGAAAGGAAAAACCTAGAGAGGACAATATCTGCTAGTGGTGGATCTGAGTCATTACAAATGGTATCATAGCCAGACACCGGACGATGGCAGCCAACCTTCTCGCTCTTCCCCGAAGGGGGTAGACATGAGGTAGTGTGCCAGTAGACGCTAGGCCCTAAAGGAGGATGGATTTGATATTTTAAAAAAATGTTCATGAACTTTTAAAAATAATACAATTATCTTCAAACTAAAAAAAAAACGGATGATCTATCAGGTACAAAAAGATATTTTCTGTCTATATATTAATAATAATAATTTTTTTAAAATGAAGATCATAGTGTTTATAATATTTTTATAATTTTATTGATATTTTTTTAAACATAATGTTAATAGCACTTAAAATTCTTTAATGAAAGTTTTAAAATTTAAGAGTGTTTTAAAAATGTTATTGAAAATTCAAAAATATTTTAAAAACAAAGTTAGCCTTATTAATAATTTTACTTCATCATTTAACTTTGGTTACTCATATTTCCTCTTTTATAATAAAGTCTCAACAAATGTATGTAATATATTAATTTTATCCTAAAGTCGAAATATATAAATAACGATAAATTAATTAATAATAAATAATCGCAAATGGAATACAATGAGAGAGAAAAAGCATTAACTCGTTGACGTGGATTTATTGTTGGTTCAACATTTGCGGTCGAACAATTAATCTTTAAACAATAATAATAAATTAATAAAACGCATTAACTTAAATATAATGTTTTTTTGTATGATTTATAGCTTTAAATATATGTATTTTTTAATTAATAATTTATTATAAGAGAAAAGTAAAATTTTATTCAAGGTTTTTTCTTTTGACATAAGAATCCACTAAAAAAAACATGTTTTTTTTTAATCATATTAATCATATTAGATTAATTAAATATGATGTTTAAAAAATATATATTACATTATAAATAAACGAGTGAAAGTCAACCTAATATAAAAATTTTAATAGATGCATTTTTTAAGATTTAGGTGTATAAATTAATTATTGACGAGTAATGCACTGCGTGATTGGCCCACATGTCACACGAATGGTTGTAGTCAAGCTTCCATTAAGTTATAATTTTGCTAAATTACAAACTTCTTCAACTGTAACGGCCCAGATCCACCGCTAGACTTCTGGACTTTCCCTTTCGGGCTTCCCCTCAAGACTTTAAAAGGCGTCTACTAGGGAAAGGTTTCCACACCCTTGTAGATGATGGTTTGTTCTCTTCCCCAACCAATGTGGGACATCACAATCCACCCCCCTTCGGGACCAGCGTCCTCGCTGACACTCTTTCCTTCCTCCCATCGATGTGGGACCGCCCCCAATCCACCCCTTTTGGGGTCCAGTGTCCTTACTGGCACACCGCCTCATGTCTACCCCCTCTTCGGGGAAGAGCGAGAAGGCTGACACATGGTGCGGTGTCTGACTCTGATATCATTTATAATGGCTCAGATCCACCGCTAGTAGATATTGTCCTCTTTGGACTTTCCCTTTCGGGCTTCCCCTCAAGGCTTTAAAAACGCGTCTACTAGGGGAAGGTTTCCACACCCTTATAAATTGTGGTTTGTTCTCCTCCCCAACCAATGTGGGACATCACATCAACTCTTCGGTTTCTTGATGTCATCGTCCCTTGAGGTTAGAAGTGGGTGAAAACCGAACGAAATCGAGAAAATTAAGTTATTAAAAATGGGAGAAAAGAAAAAAAAATCCTTGGAAGAGTCGAGAGACTTTAGAGACCTATCTTCTCATGTTTAGGGCTAATCGTACGATGCTCGTTTTGTTTATGCTCGTGAGGGGACTGGCTTTCAAACTGACTCCTCCCTGAATGAATCCGGATACCAAACCATAGAGGAGTTGGACTTTTGACGGGCCAACCCTTTTTTATGCATCGCTTTACCATGAAGGGAAAGTGAACTTTGCTCCTCTATGCTCCCGACGCTCCTGTGGTTTGCGAGAAGAAAATAGGACTCATCGTTTCTTGCATCGGAAATAAATCCATTTAAAGATAATTTATTATGTTTAGATCTAATTTGTTTGTTTTTGTAATATCTAAAATCTTCTAATATTTTTTCAATTCAATGGTGCAAAAATAGTCATGGGCCCAACAATTAAGCCCAGTTGACAAGTGAGGCCCAATACGGCCCAATTATACACAAGCTATAAAAAGCCCAATAGTGAATGTCTTCATTTAGGCCCAGATTCAAATATAAATAGGGTTTCAGTTGTGCCGCTTATAAATAAGCTGCTCTGCTATCAGATTCTAGGGTTTATGATCTCATCGTCGTCTACAGCTTAATCGAAGCTCAAATCGGGTTTAAAATGGTGAAATTTATAAAGCCGAACAAAGCAGTTATTGTTCTCCAAGGCCGATTCGCCGGGCGTAAGGCTGTGATTGTACGCAACTTCGATGACGGAACCCGCGATCGGCCCTATGGCCATTGTTTGGTTGCAGGGATGAAGAAGTACCCGAGCAAAGTGATTCGTAAAGATTCGACGAAGAAGACGGCGAAGAAATCGAGAGTGAAGGCTTTCATCAAGCTTGTGAACTACCAGCACATAATGCCGACAAGGTACACGCTCGATGTTGATCTCAAGGATGTGGTTAATGTGGATTGTTTGCAGTCGAAGGTCTCGAAGGTCGCGGCTTCGAAGGAGATCAAGAAGAGGTTGGAGGACAGGTTTAAGACTGGGAAGAACAGGTGGTTTTTTACCAAGCTTAGGTTCTGAGGAAATTGTTTCGAGGATTTGGAGGTTTTTCTTTCATCTTGTTTTAAATTTTGGAAGTACATTTTAAATTATGAATCATCCATTGTTTGGTGCGATGATACTAAATTTTGTTGATCTTCTCTTAGCCCTAAATGGGTGGAACGAGGAAGAATCTAATTGAATGATCTGAATCGTTCGATCTCTTTTAAACGCCTCACATTTGGATACAATTTCAATTTCTGATTCTCGATGAACGCAGTAGGATCTTTGTATGATCAAATGGCATTGCTGATCACACATACAAGTACAACTGGGTAAACTCCTTCCCATTGCTTTCACTTTGTGGTATTCATGTGTTATTTTATATCAACTACAGATTCCTCCTCCATTATCTACTTATTTGTGTTCAGGG